GTTACAAAAGTTAACGGACGGAGTCCTCCTTATGGAACGGCAGCCATTGAAAGTCATGAAGGCTCAGTGGACTATCCTAGTGACTATTGAAAAACCCCAATGGGACAATGTCACTATTAGAGGTAAGTTTGTAGATGTAATGAACGAAGTGAATTGGGCAAAAAGGGAAAATTTCGTTACGGTTAACGAAGGATAGCAATGGAGACAGAGGTTGGAGGGTAGTCTAAATCTCTTTCATTATCTAGAGGATGCCCAGCAAACTTTCTTTAGCCTGTTAAAGGTGCCTATGGAAAGGGTCCGGGAAGAAAAGGGCCCGTCTTCCAGGTCTAAAAGGGGTCTTTTTCATTTTGTTGGGGCAACAAATATGATCTTTTATACTAGTTACCTTTATCATTACGATCTTAGGTGGATTTTCTGCTGCAGGACCAATGTCCAATCAGTGCACAAAGTTAATGAAGTCTATTTACGTAATTAGGTCATCGGGAGGGTCTCTTGATCCACGTGCGCTCCCGACAATTGGTAGATGGGTTATATGGGTCCTGAACAATGTGAACGCTGTGAATTACAGTATTGTCAAATGTACGAGACGGTGTCTGAATAAAGTGGAATTGGATACCAATCTTATTCTTTTTTTATAAATATAATATAATATTCATGGAAACAAGCGTGACGAATTTTGCGACCTTAACGAAAGCACGGACAGTGAGGACAGTGTCAATTAACAGTGAGAATTAAAAGTGTGTACAACTGCAAAATATCTCTAGAATTGCAACAAACGATTGGCTAAATATTAAAAAAACGTTATTATTTTTTTTTCTAAGTTTGCGGAAAACAAACTCGGCGGGCTGGACATACTGATTTTGAACCATGCCATACTCCCTAACGTTCAGCCGTGGCTGGGGACAGGGGACAACTTCACGAGACTGACCACCAGTATGGACGTTAACTTCCGGTCATTTGTTCACCTGGCGTCCCATGCACTACCTCTGTTAACCAATAGTCGTGGTCACATTTCTGTGGTCTCCTCTACTGCGGGTGGGTATGTCGTCTGCTTGTCAATCACTTGAAATAAAAAGTTTCAAATAACAAGAGAATTTAAAAAAGTTCAATTCCATAAAATGCACTAGCAGAATACTGTTTCAGAGAGGTTGAATGTGTTGCTGTTGTATTGAAGACCCGACAGAAGTGGTCAGTTTGACACGAACTGTAGTCCATTCTCCACAACTTTGTACAGTCCAATAAACTAATCCCAAAACTCCGACTAACCCTAACCTGTACTAACCATATGGGACCCTGGACTTTCATTCCTAGGACTACCATTCCTGTCACACCGCTAACCCTAACCTGTACTAACCATATGGGACCCTGGACTTTCATTCCTAGGACTTCCATTCCTGTCACACCGCTAACCCTAAACTGTACTAACCATATGGGACCCTGGACTTCCATTCCTAGGACTACCATTCCTGTCACACCGCTAACCCTAACCTGTACTAATCATATGGGACCCTGGACTTTCATTCCTAGGACTACCATTCCTGTCACACCGCTAACCCTAAACTGTACTAACCATATGGGAACCTGGACTTTCATTCCTAGGACTTCCATTCCTGTCACACCGCTAACCCTAACCTGTACTAATCATATGGGAGCCCGGACTTCCATTCCTAGGACTTCCATTCCTGTCACACCGCTAGCCCTAAACTGTACTAACCCTAACCTGTACTTATCATATGGGAGCCTGGTCTCCCATTCCTGTCACACATGTACAAACGTTTACTGTCACGTGTTTCAAACTCTATCGTTTTATTTTCCTACAATTCTGTCAATCTCGTTATGAACTAATGTTATATATATATATAATTATATAAATATATTAATAAAATAATATATTTGAAAACGATTATAGTTGTTTTAGTTTTATGGTACCTATAGTCCAGTGGGCGTATGTCATAGTAATGAACATAATAAGACTTGAACTATTTCCTTTGGATGACAAGATGTCACTACAGTTTCTGTACTAATTCAGACCACGCTGTTATTTCAGGAGTAACCGCCACTCCATATACAGCCGTTTACACCGCCACTAAGTACTAATGACTGAAGATGTCAATACAGTATCTGTACTAATTCAGACCACGCTGTTATTTCAGGAGTTACCGCCACTCCATATACAGCCGTTTACACCGCCACTAAGTACGCTCTCCAGGGGTTCTTTGGCGTCCTCAGGCAAGAACTGGCTCTCTATACCTCTGGGGTGTCTGTGACCTTGTGTATGGTAGGCGCTACACGTAAGTACAGGGACCGGCTCTTTATAACTCTGGGGTGTCTGTCACCTTGTGTATGGTAGGAGCTACACGTAAGTACAGGAACTGGCTCTCTATAACTCTGGGGTGTCTGTTACCTTGTGTATGGTAGGCGCTACACGTGAGTACAGGTATAGCGATGCCATCGTTTATAGTCAAGTGTGATATTGTGTTTATTATTGTTATTTGTATTTGGCATGTACATAGTGTCTTTGATTTTTGCACATTATGTAAATCATGTGAATGTGGAAAAAATATTTGTATAACTTCAACTTGACGGTTTAATGGCATTTCCTATGGTTCCAAAATCAAACCTTAATTCTTTACTTTTTCTCTCTTTCAAAATAATAAACAAGTATCAAAAACAAATGTTTTCTTTGGTCTTACTAGATGCGTTTTATTTATTGAACCTTATCTTTTCAGGGACGGAGAGAGCGGTGAAATCATTCGTAGGCATGTTTGGCAGTGACTGGCACAACACCATACAGCCAGTAGAACCAGAACTTGTTGCCCTGGAGATCACCAAGGCAACTGTTACTAGGCAATATGAAGTATACACTAGCACTGATATACCATCCAAAATATTCATATCTTTAAGGTTACTGTTTCCAAATTTTGCTGATAAAATGATGCTAAAAAGCTTTTTAGTCTTGTAGATATCATCCTAGTTTGGGTGCTTTTACTTTCTTCAGAATGTATCTGTTAGCTCGGAATTAAACCAGTAGTAGTCAGTTCGATCCACCATGTTTAAACAAAATGTGTATAATACCGTTTAGTTTAGGAAAGACACATTAACAGTTTGTATTTCAAGGAAAATATATTTTATTTGGATAACTGCACGGGCCATATGTGTGTCAAATACCCACAGTCCTGAGAAGACAGAAGTCTCAGTACACTTCCTGGTACAATACGAGTTAAAAGAATATCCTTTGACACGCTCTGGTAATCAATTCAGAACTGAGCACAGCGTGATACCAGACAATTCGGAAACGTGCATGTGTTAACACGTGTGGTAATTGCGAACCCAGCAAAAAAAAAAAAAAAAAAAATTAATATATGACACAGCGTTTTCTGAGGGATAAACATATTTTGGTGATTTTTATATAGGTTAATCGTATATCAACCTTGAACCTGAAATGTATAACTTACATGTACATGTATGTCATGGTAGGGTACAATCAAGTACACACCTTTTATTTGAATGCAAAGTACTGCGGTGGTGCCTTAAGGGACAGAGCCGTCTTCTTTTTTTTAATTAAGGCAGAGCTAGACATTTCGTTAGGAACAGTGTTAAGAGGCTAATAAACGTACTATATATGGTTGTGAAATATTACATTTATGTAAATCCTTAAAAGGGAATTAAAAAGTATTCTGAAAGACGGGCATCTTTTAGGAGTAATATGATATACTGTAGAATAGTTATGGCACTTAATGACATAAGATCATAAGATTCCATAAGTTTAGGAGACCTCCATTATGACCTTAAGCAAGGATTGTATTCAGCGTAGTTTTTCAAAACAAATTATTGTAGTCCGTATAAATTGTAGTTTATGAAAGGCATTTAAATAATACTGTAGAATTGCTTTATTTTCGTCTCTCAGAGATCGTCTAGTACACGTCCTTCTAGGAGTGCAGGATCATTATCAGTTTCCGCTGAAAGAAGAACATCATCATGGTGCGTTAATATGGACTCCTATTCCGCGGATCTTATCTACTTGATTTTCAATGTATATACATGGCCTTTGTACGCTTTGCGAAACAAATAACTCCTTCCATCCCAGAATAAAGAGCTTCAAGGTCATGGGTTGATACACGTAGCAATCTTTTCCGTATAAAACAGTCAGCACTACCCTCTTTCCGCATTCATATGCAAAACGTGCGCAGTTTGTGCCAATCCAGAAATAATCATCAACATGTGACTCATTATTTTCCTGTAAGGATGTTTTTTACGAAACGCACTTTTATCTGCATCGGTCCTTGCTCACCCGGAGGAGTTCTAGAAAAAGGTGCATTAGACACCCCTACCCATTCCTTGTCTTCTTCACTCGCTGTCCACCGCAAGGGGTCGCTCGGGATTGCTGATAATAATTTCTGACTAAATCTCCATTTAGAAATCGCATAGATTCCAAGAATCACTTTTGGCAGCTTCCACCGAGTGTTTCAGCGTTATCACGGTTCACTCATGCATTAGGGTACATGTACATGTAAGAATCAAAAGTCTTATGTTTGGACCATATAACATTGCAACATTATATAATCCGTTCACTTAAGGTCTTCTGATACTAAAATGAATAGTAGTTGTAAAATTTGCTGTGCAAGGGCTAGCGTATCCAGCCTTGTGAAGAGAACGCCTGTGTATAGGTAGCTCGTTGCTATCCATACCAACTGGTTATGGCAATATAAAGTCTTTATTTCCAACAGTGTGATCAAAATGTTGTCTTTGCTATTGAAAATATCAACTTTTGTCTTTTGTTAATTTGCAGATAATTAATTGCCACAGTATACTTCCAAGCATTTAAAGTATGCTGGAGGCCTGTTGACTGGTTTTTCCTTCCACAACAATAAAATCACGATGAAAATGTTCTGTGTTTTCTGAGGCAGGGGTCTCTCTGAGGATGAATTTAAAACGAATCTAAAACGGATGGTATATAACTTCAGAAGGTAACACGTAAGTCCAATATTTCCAATATCACATGTATTTGTCGCTCAAGTATGATTCTAGTGCCGTTCTCTGTACTGTTAATATGCACTGGCCATTTAGTTATAATCCTGTTTAAATATTGTGATTCAGTCACACCATCATAATGGCATTTTTATTTGATCTACCGACCTGTTGTGCAATTATTATGCTGTAAATTCGTTTTTAAAGAAAATAACCGATCAAAAGCTTCAGGCGCCATGCCTACTCAAATTATTCGTGTCAAAAAAAAATTGGGTTGCCGACCCTGCTTACAGACAGTAACCGCTCCTTGAACAACTTGAATGTATCAATTACTTCTGAGCTTATCAAGCACTTTGCACCATGGGATCAAATGTATGCATATAAACATGTTTATACTTTATTTTTCTTTTGATCAGTAAATTATGTTGAACTTAAACAGTCACATATGATGAAAACAAAAGGTAACTAGGGAGAATAAAGGTGTTTTTGATTTTACGGCATAGTTTTCAACCATTCCTCAAAGGTATTGGCGTTATGAGGGAGGAAAGTCATCCAAGGAAGGGTCGAAAAGTTGCGTCTCGTAGCTAGAAATCAAATTTAAATTCTTGAGAACAAGTTACATTCTTATATCATAACACAAGAGGCAATGAGAACCCGATGTCATAGAATTATTAAATAATCAACGTGGCGCGTTCGAACTGGTTGACCTTCAAAATTGCGAAAGAATTAATCTTTGTCTTTGACAAGTGCACCTTTTGGTTCTTTTGTGGGACGGTCCCCGCACGTGACTCTAAATGGCCAATCACAGCTGTTGAGTTCCAGATTGAAATTAAGGCTGGCGGGGCATCGACGGTGGCGGAAGACCCGGTTGTACGCGCAAGAGACGAATTCCCCGCAGTTGGTGGGTTCCTCAAAGTTTCCATTGTGACGATTGCAAATGGCCTCTGAAAGTAGGAAAAGAGGTGGTGATGAATGTGTTGTGTCATCTCACCTGTAGCAATATGCCTTCTCAGCTGTAATGGTACTATGTTGCTCCAACAGCAATACTTACATTTAAGGTTTACATACCCGTGTTTATTCAAAGCATAAGCGTTTAACGTGCGATGAAAAAGGTAACATAAACCAAGAGCTTGCATTTGAGAACTGGAAACTATCTCCCTTCTGTTGCCATCAGTGACAATTTCAACTTTTTTTCGATAAGAATTAATCTATCGCTTCTTACATGTATGTTTTGTAGGCATTTAAACTTTCGACTACTCTAACACCCGTTTTAATTTTTTTTTCAGTTTCATTTTTTCATTTACGAGTGATAAGTAATATTCAAGGAACAAGGTGGGATATTTACAATGTTTGACCTCTTCCCATTCAGGAAATTTGTTTGGATAATACGGTGCAATTATGAGACATATTTCATTTCATTTTTAGGTGTCAACAGTCTTTTCTCCACATTTGATTGTAACCGTGTGTACAGTACATGAAAACCAAGGCAACAATAAGTCCAGTATACATTTACAAAAACCCATTACTATAATCTTAATTATAAATTACTGTCGTCAATCTTCATTACGTTCCCTTTGGC